CATCTGCCATGTGTCTGCCCATTTTACCATTCTGTTTATGCCTTCCTGCAGTTGGCTCCTATCCTTCTCACTGCTTATTGCCCTACCTAACTTTGTGTCGTCCGCAAACTTGGAAATGGTGCTTGCTATACTCAAGTACAGATCATTTATATATATTAAGAAGAGCAGTGGTCCTAATACCGATCCCTGGGGGACAACACTGTACACTTCCCTCCAGTCGGAAAAGCAACCGTTCACCACAATTCTCTGCTCTTTGTCTCCCAGCCCATTCTGAATCCATGCTGCCACTGTCCCTTTTACACAATGGGCTTCTATCTTTCTTACAAGTCTTTCATGTGGCGCTTTGTCAAATGCCTTTTGAAAGTCCATATAAACTACATCAACTGCACTGCCTTTATCCACCCTCTCCGTTACCTCATCAAATAATTCTATTAGATTTGTTAGACAAGATTTGCCTCTAACAAATCCATGTTGGCTGTCCCTAATTAACCCATATTCTTCTAAGTGAAGATTTATTCTGTCCCGGATTATAGTCTCCAGGAGTTACCCCACTACTGATGTTAGGCTGACTGGCCTGTAGTTCCCAGGTCCCACCTTTTCCAGAACTGAACCCAATGATCCAGAAACCTAAAGCCCTCTTTTCTGGACCATTTCTCCAGCCAAGCATTCATATGCTTGATCCTCCCATTCTGGTACTTATTTGCCCGAGGCACAGGGAGTAATCCAGTGATCGCCACCTTGGATGTTCGATTCTTTAGTATGTTCCCCAGCTTTTGATATTGACCCTGTAGAGTCTCAGCCCTTTTTTTTACCAATATCATGGATCCCCACCTGGACTATCACTTCTGGATGCTCGCCTTCCCCCTGAAGAATTTTATACACCCTTTCTGCGATGTCTAAGACAGTTGCACCAGGGAGGCAACATAACTTCCTTGACTCCCGTCTTCTGTTACAGAAACGTCAGTCTATACCTCTCACTGTTGTATCCCCTATGACAACAGCATTGCTCCTGTTACCTATGTCCCCCTGTTCTACCAGGTAGTAGCAAGTGACAAGTGCCGTGGCAAGTGTGGTTGTGGCAAGTGTGGCAGTGGAAAGTGAGGCTGTGGCAAGTCAGGTAGAGGCAAGTGTGGTGGTGGCAAGTGAGTAGTGAATAATATGGTAGTGGCAAGTGTGCTGGTAGCATTGGGAGTTGTGCGATGTTAATAGGATTAGAGAAGATACTTTTAAGTGGATATAAATAGAAATTCAATGGGACTTGGATAGATTACAACTCTGGCGATTATACGATTTATCTACATCAGACTTATGCGTGTTTCGCTGCACTAACAATAAAAACCTTCATATGTTGTAGATTAATATTGCTCTGATATGTCCTTCTGAAGGGCAACATATAAATGTAAGCGATTGTAGTTTTTATTGTTGCTAGTCTTTGTGGAACTTGATAAAATTTCAGAACAGACATTAGTTAGGAAATTCTGTAGAGACGGTAATTCATCCCATAAGCCTCCCAACGTCCAGTATACATTGCTTTAGCTCCAAGCAACAGATTTTGGATAGTTTCATTGACCTGAAAACCAACAAATCATCTGGGTCAACTGAACTGTACCCGAATGTACCTAGGGGGATATGGCTGGATAAGCATTATTGGTGGGTCAAAAACAAAAGCAGAAGTCAATGGGAACACTCAGCAGGTCTGTTAGATCATGGTTGATCTCTACTTCAACTCCAATGAGCAATGAAATTTAATACTGTTAAATATGAATTACTACATAGGTGATGCACGAATAGGAAACTCAATCGATGTGATAGAATGTATGGGGCCGAATGGTTGTTTTTGTGCCGTACTTTCTGCGTAAATCTAATTAGATTTACTAATTAGATTTACTAGTGAGTTGTTAGATTTACTTGTGAGTTGCAATATTTGGATATTACAAAAGGAATATCATACGATCAATTTTCAGTAAGTTTCTTGCATTTCCCTTGATTTTACAGTGATCTGTATGGCTGGCATTATATAACAGCGAGTTATTTGGTGTTAAATGGAAATTGACTTGAAGACGCTGCAATTATAATTTCAAAATAATTATAGTTCTTTCTATATTTCCATTTAGCTTGAGACTCGGATAAAATGAGATGATAACATTAAATTGAACAGAATAATATGAAGTAGTATTTCAGTTATTACTAACATTGTTGCGCATAACATGGACCACGTGGCCTAAACCGTAAGGTGTTTGTCTTTGGAGTACACAAAGAAGATTCCAAATTCAAGTCCTGCCATGGTCTATGCATAACGCCATTGTCAGTGTTTAGCACCCCACACACCAGCACCCCCACCCCTCACCCCATCCCCCATCCCCCGCTTGTGGCCACAAGCCTTTTTTTNATAAACTGTGGATATTTTTTGTCTTTTGAAATATTTGAGAAAATTGATTTCTCGAGTCATACATTTGTCATATGAAAATATGACCACATTGTCAGAAAGATTTTCTTTGCAAATTTGTCCCAACATAATGAGACGCCTGGATTTGAACTAGGCTTTGCAGTCAATGATTCTACCAATGAGCCACCTAAACTGTTCAGTGATAACTGAACATAATTATACTGTCAATGAATGTATAGAAAATTTAAATGCTCTTGAGCTGGTTCTTCCTTCACCTTATCATATTGTTGTCAAAGATTGGCATTGGTCATCCTTACCTGAATGGCGCTATACAAATGTAATTTGTTGTTGTTGTTGTCTAAGTCTTTTTTCACCAGAAGCTTAATGTTGGTCGGTTACTTCTCATATGTAAAAGCAATAAATTCTCCTGCCCTTGTGCGTAAAGCAATGGAGATTTTCTCCTTATAATAATAATCCTTGCCTTTAATACAATGTCTTATCATGTGTTTGAGACATTTCAAAGCGTTTCCCAGTTTATACTGTAAAGCCAATTTACTATACAGTATGTGCATTGTGGTAAGTGCTGAAGTCTAACAAGCTAAAACCACATATCTTGCTATTGCCTGGCAAGCTTTCCTACTGCTTGTCCAGCCTGGACCACCCTAGATTGTGGCAGAGAGTGACAGAGAGAGACACAGATAGAGGGAAACATACACACACAGCAAGAAAGACAGAGAGAGATTCAGAAAGAAAGAGACCCTGAGTGCGTATATGAAATCCTCTATCCTCGGACTTAAGACTTATTGCAAACAGAATAGATATTCATTCAGAGAGAGAATAATAATATAATAATCCTTGCATTTCATATAGCGCTATTTACATCTTGGAGACGTCTCAAAGCGCTTCACAGAATATACTGCAAAGTGAATTGACTGTATATTGGTGGGTGAAGCGCAGCAGCCATTTGCGCACATGAGCATTTCACAAATAGTCGTGGACAGAGTGAACAAATTATTTTTAAGGATTATTAGCCCCAGAAAAGCAATCCGTCAATTGATTAACAACCATGCCCCTGCAATGATAAAATGAAAGAGCGAACCAGAGAATGAGGGAGAGAAAATGAGAGATAGATTGAAGCAGAGGAATTGAGAGTTTGATTAAGAGAGACAGAAAAAGGGTGTGAGAGGCTGGGAAGCGAGAGGGAGATTGAGGGAATGAGAGAGGGAGGGAAGGGTATGACTGAGGAATTGTCTGATGAGTGAAACCATGATTGAGTGCGTGATTGATTGAGTGAATAAGGGAGGGAGTGAATGAATTACACCGAATACGAGAGTGAGGGAGTGAGGAAGGGAGTGAATGGGTGAGTGAGTCTTGAATGAGAGCTAACTTTCTCCAGTTAAATGACACCTTTCATGCCCTTGGTCCTTCAAGGCCAATCTCAAGACGCTCCTCTTCGACTGTGCCTTTGGTCACATGCCAACATCTACCCTCATTTAACAGTGACAATTCTACACAGTCTGATATAACTTGTGACAACTCTACTTAGTCTGATATTAACAGTGACAACTCCATATAGACTGTCCTACCCTGTTACACTATAATCTAGAGTCTCCTATATCTGCTCCTCATTCTGTGTCGTGCCTCATATCTCATCATAGCCAATCCTCATATCAGAGATTCACAGGTCACACGGAGAGATTGTATATTGGTCCAATTTATTGTGATACCAACACAACACAAATCAAAATGGCGCTTGTATATATCATCCCTCACATCGGGAGGATGTTGCAGGTTATGAAGAGTTAAATTATGAGAACAAGTTGCATAAACGTGTTCGCTATTCCATTGAGTTCAGTAGGCTGAGGGGAGATCTAATTAAGGATTTTAAAATAATAAAGGCATTCGATAGTGTAGATACAGATAAACTGGTTTCCCTGATGGGGGAATCCAGAAAAGGGGGGGCATCATCTTAATATCGGAGCCAGACCATTTAGCGTGAAATTAGGGCTAGTTTTTCACACAGAAGTTAGTGGCAATCTGGAACTCTCTCAAAATGCTGCGGATTATGCCTGGATCCATTCATATTATCAAGATGGAGGTGATAGATGTTTGTTAGGTTGGGGTGCGAAGGGATATGGGGCAATGGTGGGAAACTGGGGTTGATGTAAAGTTCAGCCATGACTTTATAGAATGATGGAACAGGCTCGATAGGTTGAAAGGCCTCCTCCTGTTTCTATGTCGCTATGTCACCTCAATCTCTGCCCGGTAACCCCCATACCCGCTTACTGATTAGTTAACCTCATCCCTCTCTCTGCCTGGAAATAGGTGACTCACGCCCATAGTCCTGTAGCTCAGTGGTTAGAGCACTCGCTTTGCAAGCGAGAGACCTGAGTTCAATTCCAGGCAGAGGGCGAAACCTTGGGCAAGTTTCCTTATTACACACAGAGCCTAATAATAATCCCTCCAAAAAAACAAAACAATAATAAATTGGTCATTTTCAATCTACGACTGTTTGTGGGATATTGCTGTGCGCAATTGGCTGCCGCGTTCGCCCACAAACATACAGTCAATTCACTTTACAGTATATTCTGTGAAGCGCTTTGGGACGTCTAGAAGACGTGAAAAGCACTATATCAAATGCAAGGATTATTATTATTATACCCTTGCTCTGATTTGTCGCCCTCACTCCTGTCAGCGGATCAGTGTTAGGTCAGTGTCCCGCCATGTGCTGAAGTAAGGGAAGAGTTTCCCGGTGAACGTGTGGGTAAATGTGAAGAAATGAGACATATGGTCAGCGTCGTACAGCGACACCTGTCCTCCCGCATAGTCCAGGTACACGCCCAGCACCCGGGGGCTCACACTCAGGGGGAGGGTGGTAAGAGGTGTGGTTAGAGCTTGATATAACCCATTAAGCAGCCTCAGAGCCCAGACTCCAGCCTCAGGTCCATGTGTGAAACTTTCCTTCCTGGGCACTGACTCTTGGGCCACCCCCACTATCCAGTATGTGTTGTTCCCCACCCCCACCTCCCAGTAATGTCTCCCTGATGTGAACCCCTCAGATCCCAGGACACTGGGCCAGTGACTGAATCTCTCCAAGTTGTTAGGAACCTGTTGCTGTCGGAAACCGAGTCTCACTCGGATCCGGTCCTTAGACAGGATGAGGCTGGGATGGGCTGTTTTAGGATCCAGATTCACAGAGGCTGGAGCTGAAACAGAGAATAATAATAATAATAATAATCCTTGCATTTAATATAACGTTTTTTACGTCGGGAGGACGTCCCAAAGCGCTTAAATTTGTTGACTTGTTGGTGTTCGTGTGGTGAACGGTTGATATTATATTTCAATGGTTCATTCAGTGAGGTTTGGATTCCTGCTCTGTGTGTCTCAGGTTACACGTGGGGCACCAGTAATGTCAGGGCTGAGGTGGGCTGAGCTCCCAATGGTCTTATTTAGCATTCCCGACCGAGGGGATGAGGAGCGAAAACAAGACATTTACTCCACATCTATTCCCAGAGTCAGAATCCGATCACAGGAACACAGCAAGAGCGAGTATTACCTGCAAAGATGCCCTTTAACATGAATTTCCACTCTCTGCTCTGCAGAGGCCCAATAAGGTCCCCCTCAGCCACATCAACAGCCACTTTTGTGGGTTTCTTGATTTCAACACCAGACCTGGGAACAGATAGAGATTTGTTTAGTTAAATTCAGATACAACATCGATGACAAAGGTGGAGACTTTCACCATCACCACCATTGTGGAGTCTTGTAGCTTAGTCATTAGAGCACTCACCTCACAAGCCAGAGGATCCTTTTTCGATTCCCGAGTAGGATGAAACATTAGGTAAGTTTCCTTACTTCACACCAAGCAGTAAGTAGAAACATGGTTGTTAGTCAATTCACCGGTCAATTTTCCAGAGATAATAATCCCTTCAAAAATGGGACACTGCTGTGCCCAATTGGTTGCCGCGTTTCACCCACAAATTATACAATAAATTCGCTTTACAGTATATGCTATCAAGCACTTTATGTCACATTAAATATGTGATAAAGCACTCTAGCAAATGCTAGAACTATGATTATCACAAAATAATAATTCCGTACTATTTGAAAACTGGACAGATGTAATGTTCTGGGCTCTCACGCAAGTATGTTTCTCTGTGACCGTCTGTTACACACTGGGTTTAGGGAATGTTAATAACTAGATGGATATAAGGAAAGATTACAGACCTCTCAATGATGGATGTGATGTCCTGAAGAGGAAACAAAACACAAGGAGAGTTACAATCAATCTTGCACACAGCAATCAGGACAACTTAGAACAGGTATTAGGCAGCTTGATGCTGTGAATCATGTTAAATTGAGATAAACTGATAACTCGTCATTTCTCGGCAACAGGTCTCAGTGACGAGGTATGAGGAATGGCCAGTTATGTATCAATACATAAATAAATGTGGCCGCGATAGTGACAACAGGATGACTTAAATGATCGTGACAAGTTAAGGCATCATTGTGTTATCAGCAATATACTGTATTAATGAATTTAAACTAAATTTCTGATGTGAGTCACAGCAGATTGTAGCAATTCAATCACTTCAGGTCACACATCGTCCTTCGCCCTCATCTATATCTCTTTCTAAATTCAGCGTTAACACCCTCATGTGTCTGTCTCTTACACAAGACACAAACCAGCATAAAACACATTCACTGTCTGCGTATCACACCAGACACACACCAGCATTAAGACAATCACTGTCTGTCCATCCAATCAAACACACCAGAATTAAAACATTCACTATGTGTCCATCACAAATCACACACCAGCATTAACACACTCATTGTCTGTTTATCACACCAGACATACACCAGCATTAATGCACTCACTCTTTGTCTATCACATAGACACACACCAGTATTAACACACTCACTGTCTGTCCAGACACACACTAGCATTAACATGCTCACTAACTGTCTACCACACCAAACACACCAGCATTAGCACACTCACTGTCTGTCTATCAGATAAGTCAAAGACCAGCATGAACATACTCATCGTCTGTCTTTCACACCAGACATTTACATACTCATTGTCTATGCACTAGATAGACACCAGCATGAACACACTTACTGTCTTTAACACCAGACGTTTACAAGTTCACTGTCTGTCTATCACACTTGACACACACTGGCATTAACACACTCACTTTCTCTTCAACCCACCATACACACACCAGCATTAACACAATTCTGTCTACCACACCAGACATGAACCAACATTATCACACTCATTGTCTGTCTATCGCACCAGACACAATAACATTAACACACTCACTGTCTTTTTATCACACCAGAAACAAAGGCTATGTACCTTCAGGAATTCTGTGTTCTGCAGATTCAGTCGTGTCTGGATTTCTGCTATTCTTTGGTTAATTGAAGTAATTTCCTTGGAAATGTGTCTCGTATTGTTTTCTATTTGTCCTAAGATGGCCTCCTCCTGCTGTCTGAGTTTGGTGATCAGGTCTCGCTGCTCCTCAGTCAGCAGCTGGTGACGTTTAGCAAATTCAGCGTTGATGTTCTTCCTCAGACGCTCGGCTTGTCTCTGTCACAATAAACACAACATTATCTAACACAAGATTCACCTGTCAGTCACAGTTACGTTGTCTGTGAACCTACGGATATCATCCTGAGTGGGGGGGGGGGGGAGGGAATGTAAACGGGGTGTAATGAATGGGCTCCAAGGTGACCTGCCTGGCAATGGAATGTCGGAATCGAGCCAGACCTCTGTGACAGTCAGTCTCCAGTCAAGTTTCTGAGCCAGGCAGGTCTGCAGTATTCCAGATCATTACTGATGACTGCAGAGCCAAGAGTGGCTCATCGGTACGACCCAAAATAGGCAGGCGAGTCACTGTGGGCTGGGAGTAAAAATACTAAACTCTGGTTAACCCTGCAATATAAAGCCCTAAACTGTAGGGTGGTCTTGGCTGGAAACAGCAGAAAAACTTGTCAGACAGGAAAATTGATGGGATGGGCTTAGAGCTGATTATACAAACCCCTCACCTTCACTTCCAGTTGAGAAGCTCCTTCTTCTCTCTGACACTGGGACATTTCATCCAACTGTTTCTGAAGGATTTCCAGGGCTTCCTGCAGCTTTTGCTGAAAAAAGTGCATGTAAATTAATAGGGAGAAGGGTGAGAGTCATTTTTACTGGTTTAGGATACTCCACGTGTCGATTTGTATGACAGAGCTGTAAATTTTATTCCACTCAATAAATACAACCAGATGGTGCAGCCATTCAGAACTTCTGCATTTACCTACCAGGTCGGCAGCAAGCCAGCCAGCACCTGAGCTTGAACACACAACCTTCTGACCCGGAGGCAGGTGAGATTGGTTCTCAGTGACCAGCTGTAAAGAATATCACGTCTTTCCTAATATGTCACATAGAACGTAAGAGCACATTGACAACGCTTCATCTGCTAGACTAAATTTTAACTTTGTCATCAAACCAATCTTAAATATTAAACGGCTTGTTCAGTTGATCAGATTGTGGCCTCTGAGTCAGGAGGTTGTGGGCCATTGGTGTGCGCAAATAGTCAGCTGTGTTCACAGTTTAGGGCTGCATAAACTTGGTCTGTATTTCCTTGAGCTTAGAAGGTTGAGTGATTATCTGATTGAGGTGTTTAAAATTATCTCAATAGAGTAGCTAAAATGAAATTATTTCCTCAGGAGATGGAATCGAGAAGGGGTACAATTTTACAGTTAGAACCAGGCATATATTATATATTATAAGTGAAATCAAGAAGCACTGTTCTCGCAGAGTGTAGTGGAAATCTGTTACTCTCTCCCCCAAAAGCTGAAGAATATGGCTGGAGTCAAAATCAAATGTTGAAGACTGAAGTGGATAGATTTTTCTTAGGTCAGTGCATCAAGGTATAATGGGTAAAGTTGGGGATTCATAGATAAGGTACAGATCAGCCATCACCCAATGCAATGGTGGGACAGGTTGAACGGTTTCCTTCTGTGCCTATGCTCCTCTTCCTGTTTTACAGTGTAATTTGAAGCACATTGTGACATCCTCCCGACGCTGTATGAAATTTCAGGATTATTATAAATCCATACCTTGCGGAGCTCAGCTGCTTCTTTAATGGGAATGACTGTGTGATCCTTGTGGTCACTGGACATCGCACAGACCACACAGATCGCTCTTTGATCCGTTTCACAAAACAGTTTCAACTTCTCCTCGTGTTCTTCACACTGGATTCCCACCTCTTCCAGTCTCGGATTCAGGCTCAGTCTTCGAATACTCTCCACCATGTTAGACACAAAGCGATTGGGCCGAACACTCCTCTGGGGAATCTGCAGCCTGCACTGTGGACAGGACACACTTCCTTGCCCTGTGCCCCAATACTGTAAAATACAGGCTCTGCAGAAGTTGTGGCCACAGTCTATAGACACCGGATCCATGTAAAACTGCAGACAGATTAAACAAGTGGCTTCATTTCTCATGTTCTCCAGTTCCTGTGCAGATGCCATTTCACCATCAACTCTTTGCTCTGTTTGGGACTTCCACCTTTACCCAAACCAGGACGTGGCTGTGCGGGTGGGGATCACAGACCAGCTGCTGTTTAAAGGGACAGGCACCTGAAGACAGAAGGAACACAGATGTTTAGCACATTCAGGCCATTCGTAAGGTCCATTGATCATAGGCACAGTTCAAAGGAAATATTCACGTTAAAGAGGGGGCAAAGCAGAGTTACTGAGCCAAAGGGTTGAGTAAAGTATTAGGCATTGGTTTGCAAAAACCAAGTCTTGAGGATCCTGGAATGCGCGTTGGGGTGCCTACTGAGTCTAACTAGCTAAAACCACAAAGCTTGCCATTGGAAACACCATCTGGCTAGCTAATCCCTAGGACTACGCTACCCACTGGGGCTTTGGCTTTCAGGGTTAATAATTATAATTAAAACTATCCTTGCGTTTGATAGGGAGCTCCATTCAGCTCAGCTCCCCTCAGCTCAACTCCCCACAGCTCAACTCCTCTTTGCTCAGCTGAGTGTAGCTCATGGAACTTGTTAACATTAGAGGTGAATGGTTTAGCACAAGAATTGGAACCTATAGATATCCTAGTATTTGAATCAGGACTATATTATGTCTTCGAGACCTCACAAACTGCTTCATAGAATATACTGTAAAGTGAATGTAATGAATACAGCAGTGCAATAATCATAATAAAAATCCTTGCATTTCATTTTGCACCATACAACAACTGCGAGGCATCTCAAAGTGCTTCAAAAAATATGAAGTTAATTGGCTATATATTTTTAATGGGCAAAACGCGGCAGCCAGTTGCATACAGCAGTGTCCCACAAGCAATCGTGGCCAATAAAAGTGAGGACATGGGTGGAAGAGATTTGAGTTAATTTGCTTTGATGAATTATGGAGATCAAACCCTTGTTGGTTGCTCCACACAACATGTTGCCGGCTTCTGCTTCCTCAGATATTCTCTATTGCCTTGTATTGGGAGAACATATTTAGACCTGATTGGTTGCTGTGTGTAAAGCCCAGTCAAATCACACCACGTGTTCAATCTCATTGGCTGATAGAATAGGATGTGTTTAGCTGCAATGGTCAAACCCCAATATGTCTCAATGTGATTGGTGTCAACTAAAATCTTTTGTTCCAATTGCTTCCTATTTCTCTAATCAGAAGCCAGTGCACATTCCTGGTAAACAGCCAGACCTCCTTGGCAGAAGGTGGCTCTGGATTTCTGCAGAGTTAGCATTTTATTTTCACTCTTTCCCTACGCTGGGCTATGAGTTCAGTGCAGCCCTAGTGCAGGGAGAGCCCGATCTCACAACCTTTTATCTCAGAGGCCAGAGTCCGAGTAACTGAGCCGAGCGGATTCCAGCAGTGAAAGAGACTTGAATAAAAGAGCAGGAGATGAAATGGTTGGATTGAGCCTTGAGCCTCTCTAACCGCTGACAACATGGCTTTGACAGCCTGACTCACGGCCCAGCGATGCTCTGTGGGATATTCTAAAGGGAACACGTAATGGTGGATTGACTTCAACAACACAAGTTCCACAGTCAGATCCTGAGCAATACACCAGAAAGTCTGCGTGCAGTCTGTGCCAACTAACACATGTTTTATCTCTCTGTATGATTTGTACCTGTAGCTTTCTCTATCAGTCACACCTCTCTCTCTCTGTCCCTCTCACACATACACTGACCCATGGTTTAGAACACGAAAAAAGCAACAGTCCCCAAAGAGGACTTTATAGAGCCTTAGAAATTTATAGCACAGAAAAAATAATTTTGTTCATCGTATCCTTGAAAGTAAAACCTATCAGTCTATCTTTCCCCATGCCAGTGAAGCTTAATTCTCTTCAGATACTCATATCACTCCATCTTGAAAGTTCATAGGATTCCTGGTTTGACCAACACGCCTGAAATTGCTTGTCACATCCTCATAACACTGTAAAACCAATCTCCTCATCTACTTTATTGTTCCATTGCTAATTATTTCAAATTAATGGATATGCACTTCAAATCATCCATCACCATTAACATCCAATTAAATCTCTTCTGCACAGACACTAAGTCCCTGACATCCTTATTAAAATGGGGACCAAATCTGCACAAAATACAACAATTGATATCTGAACAACAACTATTATAAGTTAATAATCAACTGTGTTGTTTTGTATTTTATTCTGGAATAGCTAAGAAAATCTGTAGAGCAATGGGAAAAAAAGAAAGAACATGGGACAAGAAAGTGACGTTTAGACAGAGAGTGTGAGGTGGGGTGGAGGGGAGATGATTGCCGTGGACATGGAGCTATGAGAGCGCAATATGCCTCATTGACAACTTGACAACTCATAGAATCGTAGAATTATACAGTGCAAGATGATGCCATTCAGAGCAACATGTCCATGTCTTTGTTTTTGAAAAGAGTTATCCAATTGAATTGGAATCCCATTACCCCGCTCTCTCCCCATAGCCCTGCAAGTTTGTCCTCCTCAAATAATTATCTACTCTCTCAAAAGTTGTTATTAATCGGCTTCCACTACCCTTTGAGACAAAGCATTCCAGATCCGAACAACTCGCTGTCAGAAAACCCCTGGTTCGAATGGAATGCATCCACATATATCAAAAGAATCGAGGGAAGAGATACCAGAGGCACTATAAGGCATATATAATACCTCGTTAGAAAAGGGAGTAGTGCCAGAGGACTGAGGATAGCTAATGCTATACCATATTTTTAAAAAGGGAGATAGAACAAGCCCAGGGAAGTGAAGACTTGTCAGTTTAACATCAGTGTTAGAAAAGATAGTTGAATCCTTACTGAAGGAGGTAATAGAAAAACATCTAGAAATCGAAAACATAATAAGGAATAGTCAGCATGAATTTCAAAAAGGAAGGTCATACTTGACCAACTTCATTGAATTCTTTGAAGGGGTAACATAAAGAGTAGACAAGGGTAATATGGTGATGTAATATATTTAGATTTCCAAAAGGCGTTCAATAAGGTACCACATAATAGATTAATGAATAAGGTCATAGCATGTGGTATCAGGGGGAAAATAGCAGAATGGATAGCAAGCTGCTACAAAACAGAAAACAGAGTGTAGGGGGAAAATGGTGGCCACTCAGACTGGCAGGGGGTGGGCAGTGGTGTTCCACAAGGATCGGTAATGGTACCACTGTTGTTCACAATATATATTAATGATTTGGTTTGGGGAATCTACAGTAGGTTTGCAGGACAACACCAAATTTTGGGGAATAGTTAATACAGAGGAGGACGCAGCAAATTACAGCAAGACATTAATAAACTTGCTGAGTGGGTATTTAAATGGCAAATACACTTCAATGTAGAAAAGTGTGAGGTAGTACATTTTGCTAGAAGGAATAAGACAGTCACATATATCCTGGAAAATAAAAACCGAAATGGATTAGAGGAGCAAAAGGATCTAGGTGTAAACTTACACAATTCACTAAAAGAAACAATGCAGGTTAATAATAAAAAGCAAACCAGGCATTAGGGTTTGTTTCTAGAGGTATAGAAATGAAAAGCAGCAAACCTAGGGTAAATTTCTATAGAACTTATCTAGACCACACTTAGAATACTGTGTGCAGTTCTGGATCCCACATTATAGAAGGGATGTAGAGGCACTGAAGAGGGTGCAAAAGAGATTCACAAGGATGATCCCAGAACTGAGAGGTTATACCTATTATGCATGGACACTTATCTTTTGAAAAGAAGAGGTTAAGGGTTGACCTGATAGATGTCTTTAAAATTATGAAAGGTTTTGATAGGGCAGACATAGGGAAGATGTTTCCAATTGTGGGGCAAACCAAAACCAGGGGCACTCAATATAACATAGTTACAAATAGATCAAATAGAAAAGTTAGCAGAAATTTTACACACAGAGAGGAATGGGAATGTGGAGCACACTACCACAACGAGCTGTTGAGGCAAATAGCATAGATGTATTGAAGGGAAGGCTAGACAGGTACATGAGGGAGAAAGCAATAGAAGGTTATGCTTGAAGGCTTAATTGAGGAAGGGCAGGAGGAGGCTCATGTGGAGCATAGACACCGGCATAAACCAGTTGGGCCAAATGGCCTGTTTCTGTGCTGTATATTCTATTGTGTTCTAATGTATCACAACTGCCTGACTTTTGTATTCTATAGCCCCATTTATAAAGACTAGCATCCTGTTTGTTTTTTTAACAGCATTATCTACCTGCCACCTAAAAAGATTTACTTAGAACCTCCAGGTCTCTGTTCCTTCACCCCCTTTAAGATAGTACCATATAGCTTATAGTTGCTGCTCTTTATTGTTCCTCCCTAAATGCATCATTTCACATTTCTCCACACTAAATTTCATCTGCCAGGTGTCTGCCCATTTCCCTCGTCTTTCTATGTCCTCTTGATGTCTGTTTCTATGCTCCTCACCATTTACTACTTTTCCCACCTTATTATCATTTGCAAAGTTGGAAATACTCCCTATACTCAAGTCCATGTTACTTATATGGATCAAAAAGAGCAGTGGTCCCAATACCGACATCTGGGGGATACCACTCCACACTTTCCTCCAGTCATAAAAACAACTGTTCACCACCACTATTTGCTTTCTGTCTACCAGCCAGTTCTTAAAACTGTAGGAATATATTTCCTGAAAGTGTTGTTATGTTTAAAATAGAAAATATTTGATATGAATAGTACAACACTTACCAATAATTTGTCCCAGTAGTGTGACACAGCTGATGTTCCTATCGAGGTTTACTCACCAGTAAAGTCCATTTTCTGCACACACCAATTACCAAATTTCACCACGCTAAGCATGCATGATCGAAGTCGCTCAGGCCAGAGTAGCAGGGTTGAGCAAGCAGCACGAAAGGCCTGGAGCCCAGCTCACTGTGTGTAAAGGTTAGTACCCGAGGGACTGTTTGTAGCAGGTCTATAGCGAAGGAGGACCAATATAGCAGAAGTGCGCTCGCACATTTCAATTTGCTCAGCTCATAGTTCATTCCTCTAACACTGACAATCATCCTGGTTGCTCTCCACTACTCTGTCTTAACAACCTGGGCAGCTCTTGCAAACTGTGCCTATTACTTTCTGGAATCAGGTAAGCTGAATGTG